TTTCGACTTCCGCCTGCCATATTTGGTATGTATTTTTGTTCAGATATACTGACGTGTGAGTTTTTCTTTTCACAAGTGTTAGATACTGTATTTTCAGTTGTCTTTACGTGATGTTTCTCTGAGAGAGCGGTGGAGTCGTGAGCTGTTAGACAACGACTGGTGAGCAAAATACGACTTTTTTCTGTATCATATTACCTTACAAAGAAATTCTCTTTCTTTTACTTCTGAATCATTTCATTGATATTTGTTGATCAGCTACAGTTTCAGGTTTAAATTTTGTCAGTCAGTGCTATCATTAGGCCTTCATTTGGGAATGCCACCCGAAAATCTTCACTTCAATTATCCTCACTCCAATATTATCGAACAAGCAAGATTCGTTCTCGAAGGAGTCGTTGCTCCTAAGGTTAGTTGAAACGTTATTCTGAATTGCGGCAACTTATCTTTTCCTGAAAAGAGTTCGATATGTTTCGTTATGTGTATGTATTCTGAACATATTATAATTAGGATTAATGACTGGAATTCACGAGTTTTAAAAAGACCCTGATGACATATTTGCGTGCACCTGCCATTTTAAATTTGTTCGTGTCTAATTTCTTTCTTTTAGAAGTCGTTATTCAAATTTTGACAAACCTCTATTCCAATTGATGCCCTTTTTTAGCCTCATCCAGTCATATTAGCAAGTAGTCATCGCTTCGAGATCAACGAAAACCTAGCTCGGGTCAACGTCGACGATCGAGAATTAGTCAGTTTTGCCACATTTTCGATTTTTAATTTTTTTCCTAATCGCAACACTACTTTTCCTCATTTTCAGATTTCGGAATGGGATACTTGCGAAGATCTCGACATGTGAAATAATTTTGTAAATAGTTGTAAATACATAAGTTCAAGGCATGCTACTGATATACTTAAGGGTTCGGCTGTTGATTTCAGATTTAACATTACCAAAAAATGAATTGTCTACAAAACTATTAAAATTTCTTGTTATGTGCGAAATGTTCGACGAAACTGCTTCTGCTGATTATAGTCTTAGAGTATAACAATTTACATTCACGAGGTCTGGGTGCTTTTACCCAACACGATTTCGAAACATTCATGCGTTAAATCCATGCTTACTTATACATCTAAAGGAAGCGTAACACCTTAAGGCTCAAAACTTTGCAGGACACCGGACGGCATGATTCTGTGCATGAATAAAGTGGGAAAGACGTGATTCGGAATACATTCATTGGCTATCAGATTGGAATTAACCGCAAAGCGAAAAGATGTAGGTTCGATAACGCCTGAGGCGATGACTAGTGCCTATATCTTGCTCTCTTCCTACTTTTGCATAATATCGATGTGCGTTAAAAAAACTTCAGGCATTAAATTGAAAATAGTCATTAATGTTGTATCTTGCTCAGGCTCTGCAGTTTTTCTTTCTATTGGGCTGTCCAGAAAATCCTGCGACACTTTGTCCAAGATTTTTGACTGTACCTTTTTTGTTGAATGGGATATTCAATCAGCACGGTTATCACCGGTAGCACGTAGGAGACGTGTACTTTTTCTGGGCAACTTCTCAACCCTCTTACTTTAGAAATCCGGCGTTTGCTTCGAAAAGAAGCGCTTCATCCAATTTTCGAGGTGACCTCAATCATTGGATTTTTTCTCTTCGAGGTAGCGCTTCAGTGTACTAATTACGCAATATTTAGAAACGACTAAGTCAGGCGAGTAAGCCAAGCACTGCAGAATTTCCCGATCAAAATCCACGATCTCCTCATGTGTAATCCTTCGCCACATACAGATACGGGTTAGGGTGGGGTAACACCGTATCGAGAATTTCTGCGTGATTTGACGCATGGCTTCGGCCAAATTTCGAAGGTTGTTGAAGCCGACAGCGGTCGATTACCCTGATGCAGGTATCCAGCAGCTTTCTGTAGCGAATCAGTTTGCAACCTCATCAGAAACACTAAAAAGTCCTTCTTGACGAAGGCCTGCTTTCGTTCCTGCGGGTAGCTTTCCTCCTTGTCGAATCCAGTAGCCGTGCTTATGTTGTATAGGGCGCAATGTGCCTCGGAGGGGGCCAGTCGCCGCGCGCGGCTCAGCGATGTAGTGTAACTCGAACATTCCAGCTTCTCACGGAACATTCCAGCTTCTCACGCATGCTAAGTGACTGCCCTCACCCCCAACCCCCCTGAATTGGCTACATTCCCCCTGGCTCACGAATTTCCTGTTGCCGCAACGCCGCGCGCGGCGACTGGCCCCCTCCGAGGCACATTTGCGCCAGCGTGTATAGTTTAGTCAAGGCCAGAGCTATCTTCATTAGCCATCATTTTTGTCAAGAGATTCTTTTGATGCGAAAGAAGAAGAAAATCTGAATCATGGGCACACGCGTTTCGCCTCCCCAGACTGGCGCAACCCATGTGGTGTCAATGGCGAAAACATACTGATCTGTAACCGAGATCGTGCACCTCGACAACTGTCGAATGAATGCACATAAGCGTTGTTGTTAACCTACTACTGGTACCAACCGGCTGCGCCTCTTGGAAGTTGAGTAAACGCTTGTCAGTCATCGTCTACTGCCGTCCAGCTCCGTGCCCCATTTCGAACAAAATATCTCCAGTTGCGAGGGAACAAGGCCAACGGGACACCATGGCCTAGTGAATGACATCCCTCCTGACTACAGCACAGATGCTAGCTGCAAGGACACAAACGGGGTGGCTTTACAGGAGCTCGAAAAATAAAATAGGTCAAAAGATGTGTTGATTCAGAGACAAGTTTGAAACAGTTAAACGCCGCACGTAGCCTCCATTTACGCTTCTGCCGAAACCTCCGAAGATACACTGCAGCAATCAAATACCAAAACTACTGGAAAGAGTTTTGGTCTTTTCCTAAAGAACTTTGTTTGAAAGTGTCGCAGGATTTTCTGGACAACCCAATAATTTTTAGCGCCGCTTATGGAGGCATGCCTGTCCCGCGCGGCCCAAAAGGCAAAAGGCGTGCGGTCGTCAAGGTGTTACACTGATTCACTTATTCCAACCATGTGTGAGAAGGTGAAACCGTCATAGATAAAAAGAAGTCATAAGAATTCCCAATATTCTCTGTCAACATTCTCTTAATCTTTCCTATATTACGTATTCATTTACGTACATATGAACATCAAGGCGAGACCACTTTCAGAGAATCAACAACAACAGTTCATATAAAAAACAAAACCAAACCATTTTTACTTGCGATGCTTCTTTCTACCCGGTGATCGTGATCGCTCTCGATTCCTCGACTTTTCTGGACTGGCTGATCTGCTTGGTGAACGTCGCCGTCGTCTCTCACGGCTGATAGATCTTTCTTTTCTCTTATTTTCACGTTGCCTTTCCCGGCTATCGTGTCTCTCCCTATTTTCTCTCGCACGAAGCTTTTCTCGACTCCTCGATCTGCCTGCCTTATCCCGAGGCGCCCGCTCTTTGCTGCGAGAGCGCCTTCCGCTTGATTTTTCAGGACTTCTCTCACGGCGATACCTTTGAGGCAGATCATCTCTACTGCGGGACCTCTCACGACGCTTTTTTTCTGGGAGTGTTTCTTTTTTTCTATCAGGAGACCTTTTACTGCTACGATGCTTTTCAGTATGCCGTTCCTCTTTCCCATTTCTCATTGGAGAAGGATCCTTTTTCACGTGTGGTCGTCGCGGCTAAAAATAACCATGTTGGTGATTGTGTATTTCTCAAAGTCTAGCCGAACCACTTACCTTGTGGTCTTTTCCCTCCTCTTCCTCTGCATTGTACCGTTGAGCTTTCCCTTCTGAAAATGAGCAGGTAATCCCAAAAACCTTTCACAATTTTTCTCGAACTTACCCTTATAGCCTTGATGTAGCTTTGCCACTGATTGTGAGAAATCCACATGAATTCTTCTATCATCAATGAGCACGTTGTCCATTTTGAAAAACGCCTGCTCACAGCTTTTCGGCTAAACAAGAACATTCCGAAAACCTATTTATTAAAAGATTATCAAGAATATACTGTTATACCGAAATCAGAGACGGAATCGTAACTAGGAACAGAATATCCACGCATCATTCCTGCCTTATATAAAGTAAATCTTCAAAAGTATGATGACAGAGAGGTTTGCAGAAGAACGTTCTCTTCAAACAAATTCTGTTATACTAACAAACTTCTTCTACCACCAAATAGAGTCAAGTTAGGAAGCCTAGAAATCACAACATTTATGTTCATGGTACAAGGCTGACAGATGATAATCTTAACAGGGCCGAACAAAACCTTTTTCCGCTTAGGAATGCCAAATTGTATTTGAATTGTAGACAAAAATGAAGGATTTTTGAGTGTGAGCCCCTATGTTTCCATTTCTGATGCTCATTTTGTTAACTGCTGACCAAGAAACACTCAACCTAGTAGACCTTCAGTCACCTTTTAGAACGCAGAAAAAGTGGTCAGATAAATGGGGATGAGAACTCACGTCGTCAAATTCAATAAAGGCGTACTGTAGAGATTGCTGCGTTCTTCGATCTCTTATCACCTGGAATATCATTGAGGAAACTGACCGTGAGATAGGGAAAGCTATTGATTGTGAAGTTTAAATAAGGCGGACGCTATATCCCATCTGAACATACCTCGCATTTGATGATTTTCCCGAATCTGCTGAATATTATTTCCAAATCTTCATCGGTAGTCACTGGGTTCAATTTGCACACAAACAAAACATTGTCCGGTGGCGCCTCATCAGCATGGCGCAAATCACCAACCTGAGAAAGGAACATTTTGAGAATAGCACAACTGAGAGCACTCTTCTTTAGGATAGCCTCAGAGTGTTTAGATATCGCTTACCATTTCAAGAATTTGCGCCTGTTCTGCCATATCACGCTTCTTTATTTCCTCGGCTACTTCTTCGGCGGTTTTTCCTTCGAAATCATCTATGTTCTCATCAAGTGCAATTTTATTGGTCTAAAACAAATAATTTCAGCACAAAAGTCTAGAAACCATGCACAACCTGTACCGGGTCTCACCTGCACAAGCATTTCGAAAGTTGGTGACGGAGATCTGCGCGGATACTTTAATCGAGGTGGATCTTCAAACGGGTCGTCCAGGACGATAGTATGAGCAATCCTAAGAAATTTAGTTTCAGGCGTGACACATTTTCACAAATTGGGCCAGTTTGATTAGAATGGTTATAACACCCACCGGATATCTCTGTAGGGCTTATGATCGCCGTCACATAATTGCTCGTTCATTTTTTCTAATGTGTCTATTCCTTCTGTGACTTGACCAAAAATTGTGTGCTTGTCGTCGAGGTAGTCCAAACTGAAAACAGAAAAGCAATGACTGGTGTTGTACAAAAAGAATGGAAATATTTAGCAAGAAAACAATAAAGGAAGAAAAAAGGGAAGACAGAAAGCTCACTTTTCGCCCAATGTGATGAAGAACTGACTTCCTAACATATTATTACCATTATTTACAAAAGAAACAACACCTGAAAGTAAAGAATGGATGACTGTATCGCAAACACCGTTAGAGCTACAAAACAATTGTTTATACAATGAGGTAACCACTCACCCATCCTTGTGTGCTTCATTTTTG